TCCTGCACATATCGTAATTCCAAAGAGGCCTTGAGAGCACTATCTGAGCATCTACCTATCCAGCACTGCATTAATATCTCTGTCCTCTGGAAAAGGCTTGGAATCAGTCTTCTAAAGTACTGCCACTGAACTCTCAATCCACATGCTACTCCCACCCATGCTTCCCAAGTATGACACTTGCCTTGTAGTTACTAAATCTAAAATCACTGGCTTTGTGAGTTGCATATTGTTCAACTTGTTAGTGGTGCTTGCTAAGGCAACAATCACTGTTATTATTATTGCTCATACTTAGGGTTAAGGGTTTCTTCAAATAAATTATAAATAGGAGATAAAATAGACGTAAAAAAAATGTCATAGGCCTACATTCAAAAAAGAACAGAGAATATCTAGAAAAGTAGTGCATCTGGATATTAAAAATGACTTTACATAGATGCACCAACAGAGCAGTTTTATCCGATTATTATCCAAATATTTTATCCATTTAATGTATTTTATTATGTCATATTTGGATATGTATATATACATACATTACAATGTAGAAATATTATATATGGAAATAGAAATATAGTATATATAATACTATAACTATATATATATATAGAGAGATAGATAGATAGATAGATAGATAGATAGATAGATAGATAGATAGATAGATAGATAGATAGATAGATAGATAGATAGATAGATAGATAGATAGATAGATATTTCCATTATGGCATATTTGGATATGTGGTTTTTTATATAAATATTATGTCAATAAATATATCAATGCCCAATTTAATTTATAATTAAATTTACATAGTCCTAATTTCTAAACCCATTTCCAGGCCTAAAAATTACAAACATTACAACTTTGGAATATATATGTATGTGTGTCTTTCTTATGCTCTGCTTTGGACTGATCATTGGAATATCTGTACACTGCACGCAAATCCTGTCCTTTGTGAAAATTACAGCATCGATTCTAAATGCATTATGGGAAAATCTACAAACTAGGCAATCTGAGATGTGACGAGGGACATCCAGCCCTGACAAAGCACACACCCTCAAACAAAAAATAGAAAAAGAAAGACAGAAGATACATTCCACAGATAGACCTGAAGATATGACCCAGGCCCGATGATATGTGATATATGACTCATTTACCTTATGACAGGCCGTAAAAGATGGACGTAAAAGAAATGGGAGGGGGTTATGTTTGTGTGTGAGTGTTTGTGGTTGCATTGTCACAAACTGGTTTTCTAGTGGAAAAAATCGGCTGCCTTCTTATTATCATGTGGAGACACGAACGGCATTCCAGCCCGCCGAACAGCCTACACACTCTTTTATTTGAATCAACTTGACCCTGCAGGGCAGCCTGCCAGCGAACAGTGCACTACGCGCGCTCTCTGCGCAGTACACTATGTTCCTGGCCCAAGCACAAAAATGTGTTCACCCTGCACTGGCTCAAAATGAATGGAGGAGTACACAAACTTTTTGCTCTATCACATCTATCTCACTCCCACTTTTTTTTTTTTGGTCTAATTTAGAAACGTCATATAGGGGCAGTTCCCAAACCAGCGGGAACAGGACGGAACCGCTGCGTTAACGGAGAGGGATGCCAGGCCACAGAAAAGTGTGTCATCACCAAGGACGCCCATGTTTGGTTTGTAATTGCAGGAAAATATAAGGAAATTAATTATAGGTAGAAATGCAGGTGTAATTAATTGAGAATTAAAGCAACATGTGATTAATATCTAGACGCATGCCTGTTTTTTTCCTCTCTTGCTGTAAATGGACACAAAACATTTTTCCAGCGAAGGCCGGGCAAGTAAACAATCAGTTTTTTTAAACAAATGGTTTCAATCTTGAATCCAGGAAGCAGGGCTAATTTAAAAGACATTTTTAAAAGCAGGCATGGGAATAAGTGCTAAACGTTGATGTGATTTGGAAGAGTTCAAGGCCGACAGAAGTTTCAGACAGAGATGTTGCAGTATTCTTGATGACACCTTGGGAAAATTTTAAAAAATGACGTTTCAAAGATGCTCTAGATTGGGGGTCGTCGACTTTTTTTTAATCCAAAAACTGGTCTATTCTAGTTCTGATCAGTGGGGGAAATTCTTCCCATATCTTCTGTTGTTGACGTCAAAGATGTTCAATAAAACTATGGTATTTTGGCACAAATTCATCTGTCACTTGGTGAAGCTAGACAAAATTATATAGATGTCAACATGGATAGTTTTAATGATAATCCGCATTCTCAAAAAGCATGAACTGCATGAGATGAAAGAAAATATGACTCAAAAATAAATCAAATACTGGTTCACTCACAAAGATAAACATGATTTGCACCAACCACAATGTATTCTGTATGGTTAATAACTGACTGCAGAGATTAATATGAATTAATTAATTATTAATGTTGTAATTATTTATAATAATTTATTTATTCATTTTAATAATAAAAAAAACAAGTATTGATATTTAAATAATAATTTTAATATTTTTATCATATTTTATCTTTTAAATAAATATGTTGGTTTTATGAATATTATTATTTATTCAACCTCAGGGTTTAATTTTGAGGGAATGTCTACAACAATCAATTACTGAGTTTGATTGAAATTTAAGGTGCTGCAAAACTAGATGAGAACCACTGATCTAGATTTTTAAGGTTCCTTGACCTAATTAAGGCTAAATGATTCAGAGAGCCATTTCTAAAGAGTCTTTCCAGTTTTTTTTTTTTTTTTTTTTGATGACCCAAACATTTCCGATGACAAAGAAATCTTTGAGTTCCGGAATGTTCTCAAATTATAATTTGGATCTGCGCCATATGACCAGACTAAACTACAAGGAAAAACCTTTGAATGTTTCAGCAATGTGTGATGTGATGCCTTCCAACTATTCCAACTATTAATGAGTCAAATCAAAGCTGTGTTTATGCAGTGCTGCATAAATACCTCTATAACAGGACACATTTGCCTGTAACTTACAGTAACCGTGAATTGTACCATTATGATAATAAGATGCATCATACTGAATTATGATAATCATGGTCAAAGATCACTAGCATAAGACAGATCACTTCATGATGATGGCATTGCTGATGACACAGATGCCGGGAATAACATTCCTGGGATAAAACATCAGGATACATTTGAACTAGATTATTCCAAAATTAAAATTCGGTCATCATTTAATCACCCCCAAGTCATTCCAAAACTGTCTGACTTTCATTCTGCAGAACCCAAAAGACATTCTGAAGAATTCTGCAATTGCTTTTGTCCATACAATGAAAGTCAATGGGATCCAATGATGTTTTGGACGCCATTGATTTTCACTGTATGAACAAAAGCAGTTGCACCATTCTTCTTCTTCTTAAAAAAAGAAGAAGAAATATTTCAAAACAGCCAGATGAGGGTGAGTAAATGATGACAGGATTTTTCATTTTTTGAATCCTTTTAAGTGTCTGGCTCATGACCAAAGTGATGAAAGCAAGACTGAGATCTCAGTACTTCTCCAGTACCTGGATCAACTGAGGACTGATCCTGAAATCACTGTGTTCGCAACCCAACTCATAACCACTTTACTACCATTACAGGTGCTAAGCTAGGCACAGTTATTGAACTACCTAATCGACCTTCAGTGCCTCATCTAATTTACATTGTCACACCAGAGTGCACTACAAAGCATAGGTAAATTTCTAATCTAACTCTAGAAACTTCTTTTGCTTTATTTCATTTAGCATGTCTAAGACATCTTAGAAAAGACTCCACTTTGACTTTCAGATGCAATATCCACTACATATAATACTATTATAAGTATTATATGATAGTAATATTAATATTTCTAATCTAACTCTAGAAACTTCTTTTGCTTTATTTCATTTAGCATGTCTAAGACATCTCAGAAAAGACTTGTACTCCACTTTGACTTTCAGATGCAATATCCACTACATATAATACTATTATAAGTATTATATGATAGTAATATTAATTATAAGATGCATATTAGTGGCAATTGCTAATGCATTGTACTGTCACTTCTAATGGTGAAAACAATCATTTTGAATTGGCATATCAACATATCTGAGTTAGACCAGCATTACTTACCTTTTATACCTTTATGCGATTTAAAGGGGTCATATGATGCGATTTCAAGTTTTCCTTTCTCTTTGGAGTGTTACAAGCTGATTGTGCATAGATAAGATCCCTGAAGTTGCAAAGACTAAAGTCTCAAAACCAAAGAGATATTCTTTATCAAAGTTAAGACTCTTGCCACGCCCCCCTAAAACGGCTCGTTCTAACACGCCCCCACATATCTACCTCACTATGTGGATAAAAAGATGAAGCTCGCGATTATGGTAAGGGGCATTACATTTCCAACGAGTGCTTGCGGTGTTCGGCCAATCACAATGCACTGGGTCAGCTGGCCAATCAGAGCAGACTGCGCTTGTCGGAAGGAGGGACTTTGTAGAAAACTAAGCGTTTGAGAGAGGCGGGGCATAGAGGACCTACAATCATGTACAGTATTTGAAAAATAATGTGTTTTTTGAACATTAAAGCATGTCAACATATTCTGTTACACCAAATACACAAAATAATGATCTTTAAAAAAGCATCATATGACCCCTTTAAAACTAAAATCATTACTTAATTTCATGTGTCATGTGGAAAGTAATATGACATGACCATTGAGCCACAATTGATCTTATATGCAGATGACTTGAGTGACATATGTACTCTACAAGATGTCAAATATTAATAAACTAATACCAAGAAAGGTTGCAAATAAATATTCAGGCCAAAGTTCAGTCCTAAATGGAGCAGGGACATTGAGAACCCTGATGAACGCTTAAGATTTCTTGTCTGAGGAATCATTGCGCCCCCTACTGAGTAACAATGTGTCCGGTTCTTTTTTTAAAAAACATAAAATAATTGTTTTCTTCTTTTAATGTTAAAACGAAATTACCTTAATACATGTAAAATGATTCTGCCAATGTAAAGATAAAACATACTTACGGCAACAGGATTTAGAAAGTCAGTGCGTTCTTTTGAAGCTGAATTCTCTTCCTCTATCTCACTGTCTGAATCAATAGTGGGCAGGTCATCTGTCTCTGAGGGCAAAAGCAGTAAGCCAGTGCATATTAAACTACAGTTTTGAAGGTCTAGCATTGCATCCAGAGCAAAAGGTTCTGATTGGACGAGAATATTTTTACATCACTCCACATTCCTGATAGCACCTGTCAAGTAATAATTACACTTCACTTGTTGAGTAACATGTACTTTAACACTCTTTAAATGAGAAACATGAGGAATATCGTTATGAGGGAATCAAAAAGATACATTCTTTAATGCTGCTAAATTCTGTTTTACTCAAAATTATTCTGTCAAATAAAGCACCTGCATAATTAATTTTTTGGGATTTCATCTGATGTTTTACAATTCAGGATGTGTATTTCAAACAGAATGGATCCCCCCTAACCCCCCCAAAAAAATTGTTTTATGTAATGTTTTTATTTACATTTAGAATTGTAATGTTACATTTATAATTTACACATTTATTTCAAATTAATTTTCCACACACAGATGTCATTTTTAATTATGCATAGAATATCAAAAAAACTAAAAAAAGTCAAACAGACTGGCCCAAAACGCTGTAATATTCGGGCAATCCTTATTGTTAAGCCCTGAAATCATGGGTCAAATGAAGCTCCTGAACGATTCATCCACATAACTACCAATAAATGTCTCTGTTCTCACCTACACCAGTGCTGAACAACCGCAGACATCTGTAATAGTCAACAAGATGTTGTTTGTGTGCTCTGGGCGGCTGTGGTGCCTGTGTGACATTCAGTCGAGGAGGAGGATGACTATCACTGTCTGATTCTTCCTCTTCACTGGAGCTCCAGGCAATGTGAACCGGATCATCTGTGCCAGCATCTCTATTCGCTTAAATGAATATAGTATATTAATTTAATTTAATAGTATTCCCTTAAATTTAAATAGCATTTATTTAATAAATTAAATAAATACAATTTAGCAAGGATGAATTAAATTGATCAAAATTGATAGTAAAGACATTTATAAGGATTTCTATTTCAAAACAAAATGCAGTTCTTTTGAACTTTCTATTCATCATATAATCCTTTAAAAAAACCGGAATGAGTTTCCACAAAAATATGAAGCAGCACAACTGTTTTCAACATTGATAATAAAAAGAAATGTTTCTTGAGCAGCAAATCATCATATTAGGATGATTTCTGAAGGATCATGTGACACTGAAGACTGGAGTAATGATGCTGAAACAAGAATAAATTCAATTTTAAACATTAAAAAAAGAGTAAAATATACATTTTTTAGCATGTGTGTTTGGCTCAGTGTTATTTTTTAGGATTACTGATAAACTACTGTCGTTTGATTTGTATTTGTTATTTATTTTAATTTTAGTTAAATTATGTCTGTATAGGTCTTTTTTATTAAGTTTTAGTTTTATTTAATTTGAGTTATTTTAATACTTCAACAAACTAAATGGAAATGAAATAATATATATATATCGAATTTATAAATGTGCATGTATATATACAGTATATATGTATATGTGTGTGGCTGTACATACACATATCTAGTTGTGTTTTTGGTGTTTGGCTTAGTGTTATGTTAGAATCATTATTACACTCTTACCTTTTGTTCTTTAATATTTTAAATTGTTTTTAGCTTTATTTTTGGTTTTTCCATTTAAATGTTAAGTTTAGAAATTTAGTTGTATGCATTTATCATTTTTATTTAATTTCTTTATTTAAAAAATGTGTATAAGTAGTATTTATAAAGTTTTAGCTTTTAGTTTTTTTAGTTGTTTTAATACTACAATTGATTGCTTCTGTTGTCCTCATTTGTAAGTCGCTTTGGATAAAAGCGTCTGCTAAATGACTAAACAAATAAATAAATAAAATAAATGTATCGAAATCTCTAACTGATTATTAATCTTTGCAATTTTTAGATTGATGAATCTGTTCTATTACCAGTAACAGACCTCAGAGCCACTTTACGCGTGCTTCTGCTCTTCTTCTCTGATGTTTGCAGCTTCTGAAACACAAACAGATGACGCTCAGAGCATCTGTGTAACAGACAGACAGCATTACGTCCATCTAGTTTAAGGCACCTGGATGACGGGAGTGTCCAGGAAACTGTCGCCACATTTTCCCCAGGACTTTGTGGCAGGTGTGGACGTTCTGGCAGATGCCAAAGTCTTTCACATCGTCTGGGATGTCCAGGTTTCTCTTGCGCTGAAATCACATATGCACAATATATAATTAAAATCAATTGATACAAAATGTAATAATTTTTTGTAATATATATATATATTTTGTAATAATTAAAGGTGACCACAAAAGCTCAAATAAAATGGTTTAGTGGTTTTTAACATTTTTATGCTCACTACATAATTCTTGTACTTACGTTTATATTAGTTTTCATGGCATTATTCTAAAATAAGTAAAATACGAGTAGGCGTGTCCATTTTTTGACTTATAAATACATAGATGGGTCTCTTACATTGTTCTCTTTTCTTAGCTTAATTTTTTTTATTTATATTTCTAGTTCCACGGAGTTTAAACTATTACTACTCCATGCTGTAAAGATGTGTAGAGGATAAAAACACTTCGACTGGACTGACAAGTGTATAAAACTATACAAGTGGTTCTCCCTAACATCTGAAACATATTAAAAGTTTGAGAAAGTCTATTTACAAGGTGTTTATTGATCGCTTACCTTGCCCATGATGTTAAGCAAGCGTTTTACAACTGTCTCTTTCCTCAAATAGGGATTATTTCCTTATTAAATGATAACTGTTTACATATCGTTTACGTATTGTAGTTCACTAAACTGAAGCCCAGGCAGTTTCTTCTTCGCTTCGTCTCTCTCGCTCGTTCAGTTCGTGAGGCCGCGCGCTACTGACACCTGGCGGCCAGAGACACAATTTCTAATTAAAAAAAAAAATTATATTATCGACTAAATAAATAAAATCGTCTGTAATGTATTTGTCAAAGAAAATCATACTCTGTTCTCTGAAGACGTTTATTTACATGAAAAACTAATAAAAATGTAATGGTTTGATACGTCACATCTGATGTGCGGTGGTTATCATGGGCTTCACACGAACAAGATTCACCATTTATGCTGCTGTCAGATGTTCATAATAGTCATGATGCAATTAAACAGGGCTTCGAAATGAAAAAAAGAGACACGTTTGAATATTTGGCCAATTTGTCTCATTCCTTTATCACCAGAGCAAATGAGAAATGAACCGTCATGAGTTGGAGGAAATGAACCCAAAAGCAGTTTTCTGACTGAGTGCATGTATGTTCAGGTGTCTGTTTGATTGACAGCTGTTCAGTATTCGTCCTGTGTGTCGTCAGGGACGTCCTCCTCTTGAGCCGGAGCCTCATGCTCCTCTCCGCCTGCCTCCTGCACACACACAGTTGTATGCTGAAAAAGTGAAAGTGACGTGACATGTGGCCAAGTATGGTGACCCATACTCGGAATTAGTGCTCTGCATTTAACCCATCCAAAGTGCACACACACAGCAGTGAACACACACGCCCCGTGAACACACACCCGGAGCAGTGGGCAGCCATTTATGCTGCGGTGCCCGGGGAGCAGTTGGGGGTTCGGTGCCTTGCTCAAGGGCACCTCAGTCGTGGTATTGAAGGTGGAAGAGAGCACTGTACATTCACTCCCCCCACCTACAATTCCTGCGTAACCTTTGGGTTACGAGTCCGACTCTCTAACCATTACGCCACGACTTCCCCTGTTAGTTATTTTTGAAGATCTTGTCATATTAGATAACATTAGTCAGTTTGTCTGTTATGAACCATGAAAAACTGCACTATGTATGAGACAGAAGCACTTGATTTGTAGGGTTATAGCACAAGAAACAAGATCAAAAACACAGCAAAAAAGGGTCTTTCACAGATCATCATAGTTATGATGTCACAACTAAAGAGTATATCGATTTATGACCATTCAGACGTACATCTATTCTGTACTGAATGACACATATTGAACTAGAGTAGTAGTACAAAATGTGTTAAAAAAGAACAGGTAATTTACAGAAAAGTAGCCTTTGCAATATAGAGGGAGAAAAATAATAATGAAAAATTATGACCATTTTTTGGCCTTGACCAACATAATAAGTGGACTTCAGGGGGAAAATGCTATGCAAGTGTAGAATATGAATATGAAAAATAAACAATAAAGGTCTATTTTATTCAAACAAAAAAGAAAGTAATAAATAAAATAAAAAACATTAAAATGACTAATATTATATGGTGTGATGTTTTGTTAAAGAACTATCTAAAACTATTAATTTAAATAGGTTTGATGTATTAAAAGAACATTAAAATAGTTATAATAATAATAATAATTTGTGAATGGTGTTAAGATTTTATTCAAAGAAAAAAAAAAAGAGCACAAAATGTAATATATAAATATATATATATATATATATATATATATATATATAGTGATTTCTTATAAAAATAATAATAATTTGTGTGATGTTTTATTAAAAAGCAGAAAGAGCACAAAATGTAATATATAAATATATATATATATATATATAAAATATAAATAAATGTGATTTCTTATAAAAATAATAATAATTTGTGTGATGTTTTATTAAAAAGCAGAAAGTAGACAGAGAGACGGAGAAAGAAAGAGCTGAAAAAGAACTTGAACTGAAGTACTAACCTCGTCTGCAGAGTACAGCACCTCCATGAGTCTCTCCACGAAGGGCCCGTTGTCCTGGCCCTGCTCCTGACACAACAGCTCCACCTCTCTCAGCTTCCCAAAGTAGAAATCCCGCTCCTTCTCCACTCCTTCTAGTGCTAGCTTTAATGTATTGAGCTGCAGCAGAGGAGAGACGCAAGAGTTATCAATGACATAAAACACTGTCAGTACAATGACATAAAATACTGACAGTAAAAGATGGTTATTGCTTTAGTAGACATGCTTTTAAACAACATAATTCGTCCTTGAATGTTTACATTTCCTGATGCTGAATTTGAGTGGTCAAAAAATTTGTTTTTTCCAAGTTTAATCGTGTGTATGATCCAAAAAAAAATGTCCTTTCTTTGTTTTTTGTGCACAATTAACAATGCACGACTCTTATTATAAAGTGCTCCTATTATGCCATTTTTAAGGTTGCTAATATTGTTTTATGAGTCTTCTAAAACAGGTTTACATGCATGCAAGGTCAAAAAACAGGTTAGTTTTCTCAAAAAATAGATTTAATTTTACCTCATTTCTAAATGATTCGTAAACGACTCGTGCGAAGCAGTTCAAAGAATTAGTCTCTCTAAACCCCTCCTTTCCGTGAGCCCTCACTGCTGTGATTGGTCAGATGGCGCAGTCTTTTGTGATTGGTCCAGAGTCGTAGAGAGATTGGCTCTGGATTGGTCTACCGCATACAGCACGTGTCAGAAACGAAACGCCCATTGCCATGACGGAATGACAGCCCTGGAGACTTGTCAATACATAGAAAAGATGGTATCGATTGTACCTTACCAATTCGAGCCGGAGTCTGATGATGAAACGGTTGAAGTGGCTGATCAACAAGAGACCGATTCGCAAGCACGACTGGAGCAGGACGTTTCTCAGTGGTAAGTGTCAAGTGTTAACAAGTTTGTGGTAATTACAAGATGTGATCAAACAAATGTACTCTCACAGCGTAGAATATAGTGTCTTCTCGACATGATGTTAAAGGGTTAGTTCAACCAAACATGAAAATTCTGTCATTAATTACTCACCCTTGTGTTGTTCCAAACACGTAAGACCTTTGTTCATCTTTGGAACACATGAAGTGGAACCAGCGGCATCACGCCAGATCTGGGCCAGCGCCGCCACACGCTCGCGTCATGATACTGTCGTGAACGCGCGTCCACAAGTGACGCAGTAGAGACGAAAATGTGGAATAAAGTCGTTATTTTTGTATTCTTTTCGCAAAAAAGTATTCTCGTAGCTTCGTAACTTTACAGTTGAACCACTGATGTCACACGGACTACTTTGTCGATCATCTTGGTACTTTTCTGGACCTTGAACGTGGTAGTTACCTTGCTGTCTATGGGAGGGTCAGAGAGCCCTCATATTTCATCAAAAATATCTTAAATTGTGTTCCGAAGATGAACGAAGGTCTTACGGGTTTAGAACAACATGAGGGTGAGTAATTAATGACAGAATTTTCATTTTTGGGTGAACTAACCCTTTAACCACACGGAAATGTTACTGTGTTTGTGGGCGGGCAAGTTGTTTGCGAGAACATGAGCAGACATTATGCAAAAGTGTTACTTCGTGACGTAGAGCCTAGGCCTGGGCGATAAAACGGTATCGATATTTATCGACGGTACACCTTCTTCGATAACGATATAAAAAATGTTCGATATAGTGCACGATATAGGCACGTGCTATGAGTGACACAGACTGCACACACAAACACGAACATGAGTGCTGTGCCTGCCTGTGATGAGGAGATTGTGAGTAAAAAAAAAGAATATTAGTCGAATTTAAAATAAACATTTGCATTTGAATGGATAAATAGTACAATCTATGGTAAATACAGTTACTGTGGATTTGTTCTCGATATGGTTCAGATTTTGATATTAAATATAATGCCAAAAAGAGTAATATTATGATTGTTAGGAGTAGGGGGGACAGAAAACTGACATTTCCCGACTTCTCTCTGTCTGGGAGTGTCCTTAAGGTATGTAATGAGGTTAAATACTTACGGCATTATATAACTGATGACATGTCTGATGATAGGGATATTTACAGACAGTGCTGTACGCTGTATGCCCAGGCCAATATGTTGATTCGCAAATTTGGCATGTGCTCAGGATCTGTGAAGACTACACTTTTTAAAGCATACTATACCCCTATGTATACTGGCCATTTGTGGCGGCATTACAGAAAGAGCAGCATGCAGAGACTTAATGTAGCTTATAATGATGGTATGCGATTGCTGCTTAAGGTGCCAAGATGGAGCAGCGCAAGCCAAATGTTTGTCAGTGCTGGTGTGCCAACCTGCGCTGCTGTGTTGCGTAATCTCATGTACAGATGTATGTGTAGGTTATCAGAATCTGTAAACAGTATAATTTTAACACTGACAAACTTGGCACTAAGTTCAGTCAGGCTTTTTTCAAATATGGGGAATCATTGGCGTTTTAGTACACATGTAAATATGTGATATTGTGGTTTTTGTCCTTGTGTGTGTTTTTGTATGTTGTTATTGTTGTGTCTTTGTTTGGACCGAGTGTGTCCTTAATAAAGTTTGATGATGATGATGATGATGATGAAATGTGCATCAGGGAGCGTCATCAGTGGAGCAGGAGATGCGGTGATGATGATGTAGAAGCCCACGAGACGCGCAGTTGCTGCGTTATTCATTCAAAATATTAGCGATATATAGTAGCTCAATGTGTAGAAGATCTTGATTAGGTTAAAACCGAAACCAAGCCATTCACACAGAACGCATATTCAGC